AAAGTGCAAGCTGTGCAAAGTTTCTTAGGTTTGTGTTCTTATTTTCGACGATTTATAAAGGACTTTTCGATATTGGCAAAACCTCTATATGACTTGTTGAGAAAAGATAAGACGTTCGAGTTTGGGAAAGCAGAGTTGGATTGTTTTACACTTTTGAAGGATAAATTAGTAGCAGCCCCAGTGCTGGCTCTATATGATCATAGAGATGATATTGAGCTTCATTGCGATGCGAGTGCGTTAGGTTTTGGAGCTGTATTGCTGCAGAGGAAGGAAGATAAGAAACTACACCCAATATTTTACTTTTCGAAGAGATCCACTCCGACTGAGGCGAAATATCATAGCTTTGAGTTAGAGACGTTAGCTATTATTTATGCACTTAGAAGGTTTAGGATATATTTACAGGGTAAACCGTTCAAAATCGTCACAGACTGTAACTCGTTAACATTAACTCTGAATAAGATAGACTTAAACCCGAGAATTGCGAGATGGGCTTTAGAGCTACAGGAATTTGATTATGAATTGAAGCACAGAGCAGGTAGGCAAATGCAGCATGTCGATGCACTTAGCAGATGTAATAATGTTATGATAATAGACGCAAATACTTTTGAGGATAACTTAATAATTTGTCAGGCAAGAGATACGAAGCTAAAAGAAATTAGGGAAATTTTAGAGAACAGAGAACATAAATGGTTTGAGATGAGGAATGGGGTTATATATAGAAAGGATAATAACAATAGATTACTGTTTTATGTACCAAGTAGAATGGAGCAACATGTTTTGTACAAGTATCATGACGAATTAGGGCATATTGGACGGGATAAGATGTTAGACGCTATTAGTAAAAGTTATTGGTTCCCGAGCATGAAAGATAAGGTTTGTGAACACATTCAAAACTGTTTGAAGTGTATAGCGTTCTCTCCTAAAGTAGGTAAAGGAGATGGACTGCTACACAGTATACCGAAAGGCAATAAGCCATTTGAGGTGATACATATTGATCATTATGGCCCAGTAGACAATAGCAGATCAAAGAAGCATATATTAGTGGTGATAGATGGATTCACGAAATTTGTTAGGCTTTATACTACGAAAACAACAAACACAAAGGAAGTTTTGAGCGCATTAGCAGACTATTTTCGGGCGTATAGCAGACCTAGGTGTATTATATCAGATCGAGGAAGTTGTTTCACATCAACGGATTTCGCAAATTTTGTTGAGGAAAGGAATATAAAACACATAAAAATTGCTACGGGATCACCACAAGCCAATGGTCAAGTGGAGCGAGTAAATAGAAGTTTAGGACCGATGATTGCGAAACTTTCAGAACCAGAAAGAGGACTACACTGGGATGTAGTAGTAGAGAAGGTAGAGTATTCGTTGAATAATACACTGCATAGCAGCATTAAGCAGTTTCCCAGTGAAATTTTATTCGGAATAGCCCAGAGGGGAGAAGATAGTGATGAATTTAAGGAAAAGTTAAAAGAGGAAGAAAAAGTTAGAGAAACGTTAGAGGATGATGATGAAATTATTGAGGAAAACAGGAGAAATTTAGAACAACTAAGAAGAAAATTAGAAGGCGAAGAGGAAATTGAAGAAAATTTAGAAGGTGAAGAAAAAATTATAGAAAACTTAGAAAGTGATGAAGAAATCATTGAGGAAAATAGGAAAAATTTAGAACAACTTAGACAGAAAGCAGAAGAAAATCAAAGAAAGTCGCAGTTAAGAAACGAAACCTATTACAATTCGAAAAGAAAGCTGAATTCAGAATACAGAGAAGGAGACTATGTAATGGTAAAGAATTTTGATAGTACCGCAGGAGTTAGTAGGAAGTTAATACCCAAAAACAAAGGACCGTACATTATTGGAAAAGTTTTGAGAAATGATAGATTTTTGTTAAAAGACATCGATGGGTTTCAATTATCTCGAAATCCATATCAAGGAGTTTGGAGCGCTAATAATATTCGGCATTGGATGAAAGATGATAGTAAATCTAGATAAATAAAATTGAAACAGAATGTTAAAGATAAAAATCAAGAAAATTGTAAACTAAAAAATGAGAAAAGAAATTGTACAAACTATATGAATTGTTAACTAATTCTAATTCTAAATTTAAGATATTTTTAGCCGAGATAGTGGGCTATCTCAAGGTCAGGACGGCCGAGTTGTAGCAGGCCAATTGCATTAAGTGGGGTCTGGGCACACGATTCGATGAGTTACGCTCTCTGAGAGAGCAGGTTACACTCTCTCTCTCAGAGAGCGTCGCTACTGGTTTTCGGGGTTGAAGAGAGCTGCCTACGTGCAGCGAGATCACTGTCATTCGAGCGAACAAATTGTAAAGACGTGTGTGTAAAAGTACTTAAGAATAAATAAATATTTAATAAAACATCCTGTCACATATAAAAGAAATAAAATATTTTCATTCATGGTAAAAACTTTCTAAATATGCTTAGCATTTATTCTGCCCACTGTAAAAACCCACCAAAACCAAGTCCCTGCAAATTGCCCCACTGTTTCCCCGACTTTTGACTTTGTCACTGCTTTGTTTTGCTCTTGCTGTGGCTTTTTTCGGCGCACGCCCGTAAATTCCAATGTAAAATGTTGCATTTATCTTGTAAAAATAATAAATCCAGGCAAAGGGACTTTACTCTCTCACGCTTCGCAGCACAGCGAGTAACAGATTGTGCCGCCGCCCATCTAAGGGTTGCGATCGGAGGAAGGGTTCGAGATGGGGATGAGATTGGAAATGGGTTCGGATGCACGATTCCTGGACATTGTTAATGGCCGAATGGGTAAAGAGACGTAAATTTGGCTAATTTTATTAACCGTCAATACGGCAGTTTGTTTCGGGGCAATATACAATAGTCCAAGGGCTGGGGAAGTGCCAACAAAAAATTAGTCAGTAGTCAGCATTCAGCAGTCTGTCCGCCGGCCATTAATTTAATTTATTTATTGGCTGCCGCGCATTTATTCCGATTCCAATTCGAAAATCCCGAACTGTTGTGCGATAAATTCAGCGGAATGCGAATGTGAAAATTGTGCTTCTGCATTTCCACTGCACACTGCACATGCCGAGGATTTTCATTATAAAATATTGCAGAGCAGAGCGGGCGGGCAGGCGCAGGCGACTGTCGCAAAAGAGTTTGCAATTTATTTTAAAATAAAAGTATCTAAAAGCATGACAAATAGTGTGAGATATGTTTTTGCGCACTGCAGCAGCCGGTCGGTCCCCTCCGCACTCCCCACACACCCAATCCAGAGACATATGATGGGGCGCCGCTGATTTATTTGCATACAAAAGCGCAGCAGACACACACACACACACACACAGAGCAAAAACAACGAAATTCCCTCGGCCTGATTCCTCCCTTTTTGTTCGCTTTTTTTACTCATTTTTTATTTCTTTTTATTTTTTTGCGTTACGCCCATTTTTGACGCCAACGGAGAAGCGTCGATTGAGTTGGCTGCAGTTGCCAAAGTGGGCAGGGGTGTGGCAAAAGGGGGGCTTTGAGGGGTTTGAGGCGACTGTGGGATGACAAAGCAGTTCATGAAAAGTCCATTCAAAAAGCAAAAATCAAAAGGAGAGCTAACTAAAATGAAGGTAGAGTGTAATTTGACAGGGAACACGTTTTAAATATTAGTTTTTTTTTGCCTTGAAAATAGGTATTTGAGTAGAGAAATATTTATTGTAAAATATTATGCCATTATTCAACAGGATTAATATGTCCTTTTAAATATATAGTAAGTTTTAAAAACATTTATATGACTTAAAGTCTTGATTAATTATATGAAAATAATCAGAAATCACCTCAAATTATACCTTCTGTTAGAAAATCATTATTTTAAGGAAACCAAGCTGCAAAATATATTATCCAATCTGCCTAGAATTTTCCTTTTTTCAAGAACCCAACCCCTCTCCCCCTCGTTGTTTGTCTGCCCGCTCAATTCATCATTTGGCAACATTTTGCTGAGCACCAAGTTGCATTTAGTTGTTATTTATGCAAATTTTACATGCTTCAACTTTTCGCCAAGTGCGTCGTGTCGTTTTCGATTATTTAAAACTTTGTACGGAATTTACTAGATTGCGAGGCGGAGCGGAGAAGGAAGTCTCCTTTTTAATGCGCACACCTGACGCGCTGCTCGAATATCCTCCGCTGGGAGCTACCGAACTCCTTGGTCCTTAGGATTAGGGTCTGCCCTCCGTGCATAATTTTGTGCGCTGCTGTTGAGGCAAATAAATTCTTGAGACGGCTAAAGTTATTAGATTAGCATTAGAGAGCGCTTGGGAGTGGGAGGAGGACAAACGTCCCGGGGCCGAGCTTAGAATTATGATTTACCTGGGGTTATTTACATGCGCATAAGCGAAATACCTCCAGCAGCCTCAAATTGAGCAAATTTATGAAAAACTTAACTCAATGCTTAGCGAGTCATGTGGCTTTTATAGTTACCCAAACAGGCGCGGCAATTTAAACATTTTTATTTTTTATATATTTACAACAAAAAGTGGAAGTTTTCAGCATCAAGGAGCAGGATAAGTTGCCTCCAAACATAAATAAATACTGTTCCTAAAATTATTATATTAAATTTGTGTGTTTTTTTGTTTTATAAAAAGGCAATTTTAATTTTGAAAAGAATATTGTTTTGATTATTTAATGCAAAATAATATAAATTATGTTTTTGACTTCTTTATTATTTCTGAATATTATTTCTCAACCTTTTAAATGTATATGTAAACTTGATTATTTTATTTATATATTATTTATAATTACCATCTAACTTATTATATATTTAATCTACTTTTTTTATTATATAATTTACTAAACGTAAAAGAAATGTATTGCATTTTCAAATTAAATAAACTTTTAGTATTATTTTATAGGTTTTATTTTTGCTTTGCTTAATTCCTTAGTTCTTGTTTTTTTGCTTTATTTTTTTACTAACATGTGAGGCACCTTTGCAGCCATTGACCTTCATCATTAAATACCTTTTCTCTCTATTTCTTTCAGGTAAGAGATACTCAGAATCTCTTGCGGGCTCACTTCTACCAGACTGGCTAGGTAAGTCAACGTTTTGTTATATTTTTTGTATACCCTTAGCTTATAGTTTTACCCATGATTTATTTTTTGAATTTTCGTGAGAAATTCTATTTTGAATTTTGTCATTTTTTTATTCAATTTTCAATATGTGTTGCAAAGCCATTTTTTCATTTGTGGAAACTCTCTATTTTTTGATTTTGAGAATGCCAACTGCCCCAAAAATCCCAGACATATTTTTCGAAAGCCACAAAAACACACACAAACTGAAAAAAACGAACCCAAACCAGTCCAAAACTCTCCAAAAACTCCAACTCCAAAAAATCGAGCTTCTTTGATTTTTGCGTTGATTTTTTGCGTTCGATTGTTGTTGCTGTTGAATGATGTTGCAACATCATGACATCATCATCATCACCTTGATCAATCATCCCCCGTTTGTCTTCATTTCGTGTCAGTCAAAAGGAAGCGTATCCTGCCAGAGTTCGAGAGGTAAAGCATAAAGAAATTTTCAAATTCCAATAAATCTTTGTAAGTTCTGTGTTGTGTGCCTACTATATGTACTTCCAACTATACTCCCTAGCCTCTACTGTACATACATACATACATACAAACATATCTAAGTCTGTCATAGTTCAGCATGTGCATGCATCCCCAATAGGTGTGTTGTTGGCCAAATAAATTAAGCCACTCTCTGTACATATAATATGGGAAATTATCAGCTCGTAAAATTTGCCCAAAATAATTGCCAATTATTCAGTTTGTCAACTCGATCATACGAACAACCAAAACATATGCAGAGAGAGAAAATATTAAGGCAAATATTTTGATTGAAGGTAGTTAGAATTTAGAGGTAATCTTAAGAAGGGATTTAATTGAACTACTGTACTATACATATTATAAATTAAAGTGTTTTTAAGCATAAAAACTATATTTAAACAATCCAAACATAAAAAATATTAAAAACATAGTTTCACATTTTATTTAATGTTATACCATTTTCTTTTTTAAGCTTCAAGTTGGGACTGAAGCATTTGAAATATTAACGAAAGAGATTAGATGCAACTTCAACCCAAAATATTTTCATCAATCAGTTTTTTCCCAGTGCATGTAACAACCAAAAACACACACAGTGACACACATTTTCCTTTGGTTTTTCGGTGAGCAATTAAAAGCCACCCACCGCCCATCGAGTAGTAGGAAAAGTATCACTTGGCACGCAAAGAAAATCAGCGAGAAAATTGGTGATGGCTGGCTGCGAATTTTACAAAGCGTATCATTTTGTTAGCAGTTTTTCAGCAGGTTGCACTTGACAAGAATCGCCCCGGAGCACGCCAATAGCCACTGTGGCACTGTGGTGCAACAACTGCTACAGTGGTAACTCCCCCGCACAGCCAATTAAACACACATTTAATTTACTTCGTTTAGGCCCTCGAATCGCTGTTAATTCCTGTTTTTAGTTATGTTAACCAAACACTCGACAGACAACGGACATTTAAGAGCCACTATATATCCTACATACATATGTGTACATGTGCAAGCTTTGCGATTTTCTATATATATATATATATATATGTTTATGGGCAATTTATACAATCGCATAAATTACCAGGGCAAACATAAACAAAACTTCCTTCCACCGAGAGAGAGTGCCATTTGCCAATCGTAATCAATTCCTGTCCATAAAAAAGGCACAGGGTCTGGAGAGTCCTGTCGCCGACAGTGACAACAACAAGTACGGTTCCAAGTCGGTAGCCGTATCCGTATCCGTATCCGTAGCCGCCCTCGAAGCCAACCAAACCCAACCGAACGACAGCCCATTCCAACGCATAAATATTTATCTGAAATGTTAAAATCTTCAACTGCAGAAAACGTAAAATCCATTAGAAAATTAATAAAGTCTATGGCGGCGAATGTTTTCCTACGAATGCGGTTTTCCACTCTCGCTCTCCCACCACTTTCCCATTTCCTTCTGCCCGCCCCCTTGCCTGTTTTCAGGCTCATTTTTTGTCATATAGAGAAAATTTGTGGCTGTTTTTTGAGGGGCAAAAATGTATATTATGCCGACGCTAATAGAATAAAATCCAATCGATTACAATAATGTTCCTTTGTCTGGATAATGTTTCTGGCTGCGGGAGAAGTTCTTGGATCTGTTGTTGTCAGCCTTTTAAGGATATAATCCATTAAAACAGTTGAACGCAGATGTCATAGAGGGGATATGGATGTTTTCGTTTATGAAATAAGTGGATATCTGTTGTTAATTGAAATTTATTTATGTAAGAGCAATTCCGCAATGGGTTTATCATTTACAATTCTAAGAAAGATCTGAGAATGGAATGTATTTAGTTATAAACACTCCTTGAAACCTATATCTGATCTCCAAAACATGCAAAACCCGATTAAAATCAGATTCTCACCTTTGTACAAAAAATATTCACAGCCTTTCGATCAATTATTTTGTAGATTTTTATAAAAGATACATTTTAATTTCCAATAACTAAGCAAATATCCGAGATATGAGCGCGAGATATGTAAATCTTCCCTCATGTGTCTGCCGCTTTGATCGTTTTGTTGGCCAGATGTTTGCACACACTTTGGAGTTAGCTTCATTATCATTTCGGGCGGGGTCTATTTATAAAGCGGGAGGGGGGAAGAACATGAACATGAATGGAGCAAATGTCTCGACGAGATCGACGCCTTGGCGTCGGCTTTCTTTACCCCGCTAGCCAGCCCCTAGCATGGCACGCAATTCGAAATAATAACATAATAATGTGCAATAAAGTATCTTAATTTGTTGAATTGTTGATAAACTTTGGCGCCACTTTGCGGATAAACATGAAACAAAGCAATTGGTAAATGTTACTCATACCCCCAATGAACTGTTCCATTTGTTCCGTACACGTAATTCCGAATTGGCCAAGACGAAGATATTGGGCAGGTTAGAAAATACTTAAGAAATTGTTGTTGCACTTTGCACTGCAAACGACAAATCTGAAAAGTTTTCACCTGCATTTCCGGTATTTCGATCTTTGTTTCAACTTTGTCCAATGGAAAATACACTGGTAAACATGGATTAACTTGCTGATTGTGAAACTAGTTTTAATTTGAAATTATTTAAATGGTTTATTTAAAGGTTCTAATAAATATGATGGTAAAACTACAAGGTTGTGCCTCAAAATTGGCTTAAAACTTTGCTGAAATGTAATTTAATTTTAATCTTCTTAAATCCGTAAAATCATCTAAAATGTAAGACTTGCCGGGCAGTGTTATGCGTCCGCTTGACTTCTGACATCGGCAGGTAAACACTCACTCACACAGGTAGGGAGACATTCCGACGACTGCAACAAGTTGAATTATCTGCAAGTGCCCCCCACACACTCGCTCACATGTACTTGAATGCACTTCCTACACTATCTCTGGTCGTTGGCCGTGTCCTCTTAATTGCCCCTGCGAGAGAGACTTGGCAAATTAGTTAATTGGCGGCCAGTTTACTTTGAACTGGCTGCTCCACGACCTCAATGCTGGCCACTGGTCGACAATGTATCTCGCAGATGCAAAGATACATGCCTGGCAAAGGTATCGCTTTAAGTATTCCCTGGTTTAAGATATCTTTCCATTATTAAATGCGTAATTCAAGATTAATATTAGAGTATTTCAGAAATACATTTTGCTATTAATTTATTTGTTTATTTATTTCTTATTCCTATATGAGTCACTCTGAAGAAACTCTTTAAGCTCCACTCGCGGGCCAAGATCGAATCTCTTTGGGTCAAATACGAAGCTTTTGTTCCTTTTATTTCTGTCTTGAATCGACCTTTGAAAATGCCGCATTCTACCCATAATAATAGCACTTAATATACTTGTTTATATAGGTATTGATATAGGTGTATATGTATACCTTTTCGTACTCCGGTTATTTCTATATTCTTTGCTTTGTTTCTTCTTGTGTCTTTTATTCGTTAGTAATTACTGGTTATTATTAAATAAGCTTTTTAAAGTTCAAAATACTCTAAGAAACCCGAAAAAACAACTACAAAAGTATTTTTAGACATTTATTTTGGAGATAACCCATACAGCATTTAAAAAATAATATTTTAAAAAAGGTCTTGTAGATTAAAACGAACAAATACATTTCCATAGAGCATTCCAGACTCCACCGACACCCACTTATGCTGATTAAATATTAATATTTTAGGTATTCATTGTCATTGGCTTTCAGATTAATGATTAATAGTCGTCGAATTTGAATAACAATTTCTGGCATTAGCAACGGAATTGATATTTGTATGCCGACCGTCTGCCACTCGATTCGCACGCAATTAAAACACTCGCCCGTCAGGTGAACACCAACAACATCTACGGAAAGAGCAAACAATGCCAGTGGCTTTTATCGATTTTTTGGTGGCCATTAGATTTCGCACAGTTACCCATATTTTCCGCCATTTGGGAAACTCCCCCGTTAAATGGGGGAAACTGTGAAAGGCCATCCTCCCCGAGCCTGAGGCAATGTGGCAGATATTTTTCTTGTTCTTTTGCCAGCTCAGCAGATGAATGCGTATAATTTTCGGTGTGATTTATGCCCGTTGACCCCGCTTTGGGCCACCTTAGTGGCACACATGGCCAATACCGCCCCCCCTCAGATTTGTTATGGCTGCCAGCGAGGGAAGTACTGTACTGATGCTGGTGCTCCTGGATTCTGGATTCTGGATACTGGATTCTAGCTCCTGGCTCCTGGCTTTATCGCTGCGAATGCTAAACGCAGGCCATCCATTTCGGGTTCGGATCTAGGGGCGGGCTTTATTACATTAGGCGTTCGTAAAGTAAAAATTGTGCCACTTTCTCAAAAACACGCACAGCACAATAAGTGGGTGTGTATGCCGCTGCCAGTGCCACTGCCTTTATCCTTCGTCCTTTTTACCTGCTGCGGCAAAGTGCCGAAAAAAAAGGGCAGCCGGAAAATGGGGAATATCGGGGCGGGTAAATGTACCCAAATGTGCTTGGCTCTACGCTTTTGTTGAGCCCCACTG